GAACCGGCGCTGCAGAGGCTGCGGGCAGCCTTGCAGCCTAGCGCTCAACCGCTGTACCACCAGGGGGGTCCACACGTCTGGTTGCTTTTAACCGCCCTCCCCAGGGCGAGATGGAGAAGCCAATGGCTCCAGGCCAAAGCGCTTGTTCCCACATGTTAAGTAGCTCCCTGTTTAAGTCATTAGGGAGGACACACTAAATCCACTTCAAATTCGGTGTACCTGTTCCCTGCAGAGGGTAGCTTGCACATTGGCATCTAGGTGAGTGTCTCTGCGTGGCTGTGCACACACATCCATGCATACACACCACCTAAGTCATTTTGTCAGTGACCACCTTCTAGAGAAGTCTGAATCAAGGGGCCGGTGAATGACCCCACCCTGTGACTTAATCCATCTTTTGCAAACGGGGCCCTGCCCTGCCCCGCCCCGCGGTAGCCAATCCTCTGCCATCCCCTTCTCCCTGTCGAGGAAGGCACAGCACGTTGGCAGTGGGTTTGTGACATGCAGGGGACAGACGGTGGGGCACAGTGTCTCTTCCAAATGCGGCCCTTCAAAATGCAGCCCCTCAACCAGGCTGCTCAACCCGCTGGCTTGTCGTGAATGGAGCTCTCCGAGGATGGGCTCCGCTGGACAAGCCGTCCTGTCACCCGAGATGTGTCAGAGCTCTGCACTCTCACTCACCTGGGGGCCGCCACAAGTCCCTTCCACCGACCCCGTGCTCCCACCCCGCCTTCCCTCCAGCTGGACCCCCACATCCCACGGCAGGGGCCACGCTGGCCACCAGTCACCCAGGAAGCGACACTGTAGGTGATGTGGAGCCCACAGTGCGTGGGGTAGCTCCTGGCCCACCACATACGTGTGCGCGCGTGTGTTTCCCCCCAGTGTTAAGGGATGTTAGTTTTTCAGGGCACCATCTTTTGAGCAGTAATTTGGTGCGCAGTAATTTCGTAGTTTCCTTACTATGATTTTTCTAGAATAATTTCTTTAGGTTTTCAATGAGGTCAAAAGCAGAACACGTCGAGGCAATTTTCTTTATATGAACTTTCTTGAGGGTGAGTCATATCTGAAATATTGAGTGATATTTAGGAGCCAATTTTCTTAAAGCCTACATCTTGGCAACATTCCCTGTAATGCTGAGCAATTGCTTACACGTGTGAAGTGATGCTGCAGCTGTACCTGGTGATCTAAGTAACACACGAGGCACCTGCCAGAAACATCCAGATAATCCGAAGAAGGAATCAATGAACAAATAGTGGATAATGGACAAAATGATCTCTGGTTGGTCAGTTGAGATGAGCCACTTGGTCACATGCTTCAAAAATGACCCTGGTAACCCAAGCCTGTGTGAGCGGGCCGCGGGCTCTCTAAAGCACAGTTCCAGGGTGAGGCGGAGTTGGCAGAGGGTCTGAATAAGACTCGCACCTGTAAACTCTGCCCCGGGAGATTCCAGGGAGGAGAGAAGGCTGACTCAGCATGTGGAGGCAGTCAATGCTTCTCCAACCCAGTAACACATATTCAAGAGCTCTGGCGCTGTGACAAACAAAAGCGGGGCTCAGGGAGCGACACCCAGGCTCCCATAGCCTGGGCCTGGTACCCTGCGCACAGTGGGTGCAACCAGGACATCGTGGGGCTCAGAGGAGGGGGCAGGACAATTTATATTTGTTGAATTAATGACTTAAGAGAAATTGTTTTTTTTTTTTGGCCAGTAATTAAGATTGCTATTTTTTCAATGGTCTGGGACCCAAGTCCCAATTCTGCTACTGAGAACTTTATCAATATGGGTCGAGGCACTTACCTGTCCTGGGCCTCAGTTTCCTCATCTAGTGAATGGGACTAGAACTACTGGCCTGGTAAACCCCATCAGTGATGCACCGGATCGAGCAGGTGAAAACATTTGCTGAGTGTTGTTCTGACCCCTCCCCCACAACCCACTGGCTCCTAGGCTGCTCCCGCCCCCACACCCCCCCTCCCCACCACACCCTGGAGTCCTTACAAGTGGGAGCTGCAGACCATCCATCTGCTCTGGCAACTAACAAAGCCACACACTGGGGGTCGGGATAACCGCGGTGCCTTGGCCTTCCTCTAAATGGTCATCTGATTCCGGGGATGCAGTGACAGTTGTTTAGACAATCGGGCCTACACAGGTGGGGTAACCGTTTTTAGTATCAGGTTGGCGCAATAAGACACTGGCACGGGAGGTGCCGTCACCTGCCCAGTGGCCTATGACGCTCCAGCTGCTGGGCTGAGGCTGACGCACCCGGGGGAAGGAGTCGGCATTTCAAGCAGGTTCAGGGCCAGACTAGGGGGTGAAGAGCGAAGAGGAGGTGAAGGGGGGACATGGGGATCAGAGTTCAGATGCTCTGGGCCCAGTTGAAAGTGGGTTTGGGAGCAACAAGGCCCAGAGTTGGGGAGGCAGGGCCTCCACTGCTGACACTGGAGCCCTGACGGGCTGGAGAAGCTTCCAGCAGGAGAGCAGCTGAGAGGTTCCCTGACTGCTGCACTTGGGGTTGCCGGACACCCTTGTTTTCTCAGGAGTGATGCTTTCCCTTGAGCCCCCCTGCATCACCCCCATGGAAGGGGTCACCCTCGACACCCCTTTTCCATTCTAAACCCCTTTCTTCCTCACTGCCTGCTTCTTTGGGCCTGCTGCTCACTGCTGTCCTGATCCTCCCTGCCTACCTTTGAGGCCCTGCCCCCCACTTATCCCATGTGAATTTGCGACCTCACCTACTCAGGTCACGCCTGCGAGGCCTCTGACCTTAAAAAGCTCCCTCCCTCCCTGCTTTTTCCTCGAACTGTTTCCCTGCGGCATCCCCACAGGACCCGGCTGGTTTTTATGGGACTGATACTGTTTTGTGTCGTGATGATTTCTAGATCTTACCTTGCTCATTACCCTGCACCCCTCCCGAGGACGAGGACAGAATGTCTACCTTATTTATGTAACCCCTGCATTTCCAAGCGTGCTGTCTCACACCGGTGGGGCCCATAAATATGCACTCTGTGGAACTTTGTGATCACTCTGTCCTAAGAAGCTGTAATTCACCCTCACCCGTTTTTTCCTCACTCCACAATGAAGTCACAATTATGTGATCACATGACCCAGTAGTTTCTCCCTCTATAAAACAGTTTGCTGGTTTTGCTTGCTCCTACTTGGATTCAAATCCACTTTCCAGTCTCTTGGGCCCTAAACAGTTTTTTTCTGGGCAACAGTCACTTACTCGCACCAGAAAACAATATGACATCATTCTGTGGGCGCCTGTCCCCACGGCGGGGGGCAGCCTGAGGCCCTTACCAACTCCTCTCTGCTCTCTAGCCTTGACCTGAGCTTCCCCACTTGGGGTAATGGCCCCAGTGCATTTCATTGTCCTCATGGGGGGCAGGCGAGCCCCTACATCTCTCTCTGATGAACTCTGGTGCTCGTGGCTCTTACTGCCTGTGGGTGTCCCTCATATGCACCTGCCTACAGGCCCCAAGCCCCAGGTCATTGCCACCAAGGTCCTGGCAGGCTGCCAGGCATCTCAGCTCTGCCTCTCAGTCCCCACCACTGTCTGGGGGGAAGAGGACACAGCTCTGTCACCTTTTCCTCAGACACACTATCCCCTTCCCTCCTGGGCCCAAGGGTTGAGATCCAGTGTCAATTCAAAGCTCGTCCTTCCAGAATGAGACTCCACTCAAGCGCGTGGTCAGTGTTTTAAACTGTTTCTACTTCTGTTCAGTGGTGGCCAAGGGCTGTGTGAGGCTGTTGGGTCCTTTTCTGAACGCTACAAACCACCCACGCCCTGCCCCAGGCTGGGCGGCACCTTTCTCCCGGTGAAGGACCTGCAGAGCCCACAAAATCCCCGGGCTGGAGGGCAGGAGGCACTGGGGAGGATGTGCTATTGACCCAGTTGGGGCTGGTATAAAAGCGCGGCCCTGCCTAGACAGGGAGCCTGGTCTCCCTGGCCCCAGGCCCCCTGGCCTCCGGCATGATGCTAAGACCACAGGCGCCGTGACAGTCTTCTCTGCAACGCACTCAAGATCAGGCTGAGCCATTAACTGGGGAAGGAGCACATCGAATGAGACAGACGCTCGCTGCATCATGGAAACCTAAAACAGAACACCGAGCCTCACCGTAAAGACGGGAGGGGTGCCAGGCAGGAAGAGCTACAGCGAGGATATTTTAATCAGTCTATCTGTACAGTCTGTAATGATTTCAAAGTATGGGAATTTATTATCTAATCAAAAGGATTTGTGATGGCTAATTAGTGACATTGTATCCAATCAGGAATTAAAAATTTGGGTCTAATTGTGATTGCTGAGCTTCGCATCCAGTTATGGGCTGGGGAGACTTTGGGTCTATGAGCCATGGAGATCAAAGGGGTGCAGGAGGCCACGGGACTGCTCCCGAGGGGCAAGATCCAGGGGTTCACCAGGCAGCCCCAGCACAAACCGAGCTCTGAAGTCTGGCGGGAAAGCGCAGGAGAGGGGGCGCTGGCGCCAGGGTTAACAGTCTTGCAAATATAATAAATAATTCCCCTTCTCCCGGGAAGCACACAGAGTAAAATGAGTTCTGTATACTTTGGAATAAACAGTAAAGCTCTCTGGGTAAAGAGCCAACTGGCAGTTTGAAAGATTGGGTTAATCAGACACGGGAAACTTCTGATTAATTGGACAATTACTTCAAAATCTGAGAGAGCCAAGGCGATGTTAGAGAAATATCCTGACCAACTGGGAATAAATTCAATAGCCTGAGGCGGAGTTTTAAGCTTACACGGATTGAAACGGCACTGCTGCGTAATTTTTATGATCCCAAGCCCCCCAGTGTACAGGGTCTATAATGATTTTTTTCAAGACCAAAATGATTCAAAATTATTTTGGTTAGAACAATGATGGCCAATGAGTCTGACATTCCCTTGACATCGCTTTAGGCCTCTCGGACATGGCGGAACCCGAACTGCAGGGGCCAGGAAGGGGGACTGTCAGGTCGGAAGGGAAGTGGCCCAGATCCACAGAACTGTCTCTGGGGGAGGCAGCAGCACCCCGCCTGCTCCTCCTGGAAGTCTGCAGTGCACAGCCTCACCTGGTGGGGGCGTGCTTTTGCTCCTCCTCCTCATCTGTGTCGCTGCTGATGGTGATGACGCTGACCGTGGGGCTGGGGGTGTCGGGAATGACAATGGTCTGCCGCTGCCGCTCCCTGGTGGTGCTGGAGGCACCGTCACCCCAGCCGCATGTGACGGAGGAGCTGCAGGCCGGGCTGCTGTGCACCAGGGCGCAGCGGGGAGGCGTGTTCTCCTTGACGCGCTTGGACCGCTGAGGGGAGCTGATGGCCTGAGAGGAAGACACCTCACAGGTGGAGACGTTTCTGTAACGACAGAGCCACACACACACACTCAGTGGAAGGTCAGGCCCAGCAGCTCCTTCCAAGGGCCTATCTGGAAACACCAGCTTGGTTGAGTCTCCATTAGAAAGGGGGGTCAGGGCACTCAGACTCTATCCGTAGCTACAAAATGTGGTTGCCGCTAGAGCTCTTTCTTTCTACACAGATGGGGCAGCAGCCTGCCTTCTCTGGGCTTGGGCTCCTGTACCTGCTTCCGGCAGGATAGAGGGGGCAGTTGTGCCTCTCAGGAGAAGGTAGAGGGACTGGGCTGGACATGGGGGTGCAGTAGTACAACCCAGAATTCAGGGGTGTCTGTCCCAACACAGCACCATCTTCAGGATCAAGGTCCTACTTCCTGAGTCCATCTGTCATCCTCCCAGACACCCTTATGTTGTCTTGGAGGGAGCTGGAAGAAATGGTTATTTGTCATCTGAAGCTTTGATTTTCTTGCTAACGGCTGGTTTTACCGTCTATTAAACTAGCACACTCACTTCCTACAAGTACCTGGAGCTAAAGTATCTAACACTGCTGACCTTCAAGTTTACCTTTCGCGCCTTCCTCTGGCAGAGGGACATGACTATGAAAGTATTGAGTGGATAATTAAAAAAATACCCCCTTTCTCCATCAACCCTTGTTGACCTTGGCTGTATCTATACAGTGAGACAAACGCGAAGGGATGACACTGGACTCTGTATGTCCTTAGGGATTCTAGCACCTTCTGTTAAAGAGATGCAGGAAGATGAAAATCATTCCATAAAGATGGATTTCACTCAATCTCTATCTAGCTGGTGTCAGATACACTGCTTGTTCCTTTTTGAGGGCTGGCAATAAGTTTTAATAAGATTATTCCACTGTTTGCACTTAACATAAACCTCTGTACTTGCTCTTGTTAACATGCTATAATTTCGAGATCACATTTTTCACTACTCCAGCAGTTAAAAGAGCTTCACTGGGCACTGCTAAGCCCTAGCACCAGCGAGGGCCACTCCCTGCCCCTGGCCAGGGACGGGGCACATGCAGACACTCCCTAATGCTGAGAAGATTTTGAAAGCCCCATCTCCTGGGGTTCTCCCTCCAAGGAGACACCCCGGCTTCCCACCTACCTGGCAGAGGACTGGTGCTGCTTACTCTTCCGGGAGGAGGTGGTGCTGGTCGGCTGCTGCCGCATCACGTGGGCTACACCCACGTTTAAGGGTTGGGCTGCTGGAAGGGTCACATGACCAGTCAGGAGCGCTGGCTGCTGCATGATGGGATTGTAATGGTTGCCGTGGGCATGCGTGTTCCTGAAAAGGGAGATGGGCAAGCCAGAACTTTTATTGGTTTTAGGAACACAGGACTCCTTGATAGCATAAAGGTTCCCCCCACCACTTAAAAGACAAATTAAAACCAGCCATTGGTTCGCATTGCCCTGTGGGTGCTGAAGAGAGGGGCCCACCTCTGACAAGTCATCAATAAATTTCCAGATGTTCTGAAGGAGTGGCAGGAACACAATTTATTGGTGGGGGAGAAAGAGGACATTTCACATAGGAAGAATGGCAAATACGGGGAGAGGTCGCTTACTCTGGGGACAGGAGATAAATATCCCAAACAGATAGATATCCCAAAGTGTTTAAAGTTCCTAAACAGGTGACTATTGGGTATTTTATTTCAGAATTTATAAAGTGTCTTCAAAGGTTTATTCCACTCTGTGAGGCAGCTGGATATCTTAGCAATACCATTTCATAAGTGAAGAAATTGTAGTTTATGTGCAGAACAAGCCTTGAAGACTGGGAGCCATATGTTTCTGGCTTTAGGAAGTGTTAACATTCTTTTGAATTCTCTCGGTGGCTAGCGCCACGCTCAGGCATGTAGCAGCTGATCA